CTGGGAGGACCAAGGGAAGAGGCGGGGCATCAGAGCAAACAGTTTGGAGGACGGCCCCACGGAGCTGGGACCAGACCTCGGGAGGAAGGGTGATGCCCCTGTCCACATTTGTGTCATTGACAGAGGACACTCCTGGGTGCAGGGGAACTTCAGCAGCAGGACACTGGGCACAACCAAAGGCTGTTGCTGAGTGATGTCGGTAAGGACAGCAGCAACACAGTAGGAGGGAGCTCGGCCTCCCCCAGCCCTGTGGTCTCCAGCGGCACCCCTGCTGGAGGCCTAACAGGAGGGACGCAATCTGCAGGGTCTGGAACCCAGCACGGCCAGGCCGAGTTCACCATGGGAGGACCAGTGTGGAGCTGAGACACTAACTAGTAACCTACACAGGAAGCTTGACCGGAGCAGAAGCACAGACAGCAGACTGTGGCTGCCTTCCTTATCCTCACCACAGAGGGAGCCGAACGGCCAGCCTTGTGCAGACCTGGTGGCCCAAAGTCACCGCCCAGTCTGGAGCATTCAAATCCCAAAATATATTTTGTGGGTACTGGGGAATTGAAAGGGCTTGATGATGTTTGCCCTGGCCGTGTTGGCCCCTTTTGTTATGGACTGCAGACGTCTGGTTGGATAATAATAAAATTCCTGCCTATAAATTCCCCAGAGTTTTGCTGCAGGTGCTTCTGGAGACTGAGCCACATGAGCAGATTGCCTCAACATGTCATGTTCACCCCGAAGACCAGACACCACGCCAGTCGACCACGAGAGCATGGGCCCGGAATCAGGTAAGTTTCCCCTACCAGTGGGAAATGGATAGAGGTAAATCATCTGAAAACAAAGATTCTTAAAAGTTAACAAAAAGCTGGCTTTACTTTAATAATGTCCGTGTGGGTCTCTCTCTTCCATTCCTTTGGAATGGCGGTGATGTCTGGCCTCAGAAGGCCTTTCTGAAACCATGTGCTTACCAAGACTACTCAAAGATTCCAAGTGTGGTTCTCTCCCACACGTGCGCCCGACCTCCTGGTTCTCCCCAACACGTGCGCCTGACCTCCTGGTTCTCCCCCAACACGTATGCCTGACCTGTGGAGGAACATGGCAGTGATCGTCAGTTTTGGATGCTGTTAGTGGGGTTGCTGTGACTATTGACAACCACGTCAACTCTTCCCATCAATTATCCGGAAGATTTAAAGAAATGGTGGTCCCATGTCCAGTGAATTCTTAATATATCATTTGCTCTGAAACTCACTGCTTAGGTGCCAAGCAGTTTAAAAGTCACATTGAGGTCTAGTGAAAGGTGCTGATTAGAAAATAAAGCTGTAAAATGTGACAGACACAAACAACTATGGTCTCAAGGTCTTTGTGTTACACCTACTTTCTGCCACCAGCACAGCAGAGTGGGTAACGGAGACCCCAGCCCACAGGGTGGTTGGGAGTGTTGTGGGTCCTGCAAAGGAGGGGGCCACATTCCGGCAAGTCGATCCTTGTGTCTTTATGTAGTTTTCATACCAGTGATGTTTTATTGGATCAAAACGCCTGGAGAACAGAGCCCACACCTCACTAAATGACTCTGTGCGGTCTCTAACCCAGGATGTGCGCGGAGGGACTTGCAAATCTTCCCGATGTTTTACATCTGCTCTTTCTCCTGCTGGCTAAGTCCTCTCGACTCTGTCATCTCATGCGAGAGAGGAGTAGAGTGAGACGGGAGTTAGTCGTCTTGGAGGTGAGGAAGCTGGAGGACAGAAGGGCAGATATATATTTACCTACCATCACAAAATCAACAGGCAGCCCAGGCCCAGCTTTTGTCCCCAGCCTTCTCCAGGAGACCCTGGCTTGGACGGGAACAGGAAGAGTAGAGGAGCCTTGGGATTCAGCTGTCCCGGATGTGAATCCCACCTTCTCCTCTCCCTCACTGGCCATGTGCAAGGTTGCTGGCCTGCCCCCAGCCTGTCATTACACAAGAGGACTCACGTGCAGACCCACCATTCACCTGCGTTTATAGGGAGTGAAGCCAAGCATGGCTCTTAAGAAGCTATTCCCGATGGAGGAATTCCTAACGACAAGACATCCTTGCCCATCCTTCAATTATGTGAATAATTGGAGGAAAAAGGGGGCTTTGTGTTATTTCTGCTGGAGTCATTTTTTATAGTCCTCCTTCATGCTCTGTAAATGGGAACTGGAGGGATCTTCTGCCCTGGAATGGAATGCAAGGCGCTAACAGCTCTGAGCCGTGGATGCCCCAAAGAACACATCCCAGTGCAAGTGTCTAGGAAACAAAGCTCCGGGCTGGGCCAGCTTGAGCTCGCCTTTACGTGGTCAGGGGACGCACTCGGTGGGAGAGTTTCTCACCCTGAATGACACGTTATTGTCTGCAAGCAAGTTCACTTGACGTGAACAGCCCCCACTGAAGTTCTTCCCATCACAGTGGGCACAGACGGCCTCCAATTAGTTAATGCAATTTCTCACAAACATGTGTCATGCACAGAAAGGTGTGCTGGGTGCTACCTAAGCGTGGTGATGATCAAGACTGAGGTTGTGGGAACAGACAACATTCCCTGAACATACACACTTAACCAGACCCCTAACCTGGGTGTGTTCTGCTGGATATCCAGGTTTGGGTGGGGACATCTTCATCAAGAAGTCAAGTGCAGGTGTAAATCTCACGTCAAGCAGCTTGAATTCTGCCTCGTGCTGCATAAGGTCACACTCAGGTCCCTCTCGTAGCCTTAAAATCCAGAGTGAAGTGAAGCGGCTATGGTTACAATGTGTGTTTCAGCCGGGAGCCTCAGATCCAGCCGTGACCTGAAATCCCCCTGCGGAGAGTGCTGGGCCTGGCCAGGTCCTGGAGGATCTGAGGGTCCCTACGTGCCTCCTACGAGGTTCCTGGAATCGGTCGTCCCAGGCATCTTACTGATCAGGGAGCAGCTTTTAAACAGTAAACTGGCATTTGTGACTACACATCATTTGGCTTCCAAGATGTGCACGAAAATTGTCATAACTAAAATTTGCCATAGAATTCCTGATTTGTGGAGGTGGTGAGCATTTAGTTTTTTACATTTGTTTGTCTGGTTTTGCTCTGGATGGCAGGCAGATATGTGAGCTTCTTCTAATGTGGGCCATTTAACTTTGACTAACTTTATGGTTCTCATCTGTGAAATAAAAATGAGAAGACCATCCTTCTTCAGTGTAATGTTATGTAAATTAATTAACTAGGAGTTAAGTATATGGAAAAATAAAAATGTCAATAAATGCATTAGGGGCAATATAAATTTCCATCCAATTAACAAGAATACCATCTTCACCTTGGGGGTCTAACCTCCATCACCAGTTCACAAACCTTTCTTGTAAGTGAGTGTTTTTTCCTGTGTTTAAAAAGAAAACTCTCTAGTAAACACATCTACACACCAGCACTAAGCAGGGGTAGAGGGAAGGCTGCTGTTCCTTGGGTCTGATCCCCCCTTTCCAGGATCTTGAGCGGGTCCCTCCCTCAGCTCCAGCCACCTGGCCCCCAGAGGTGGAAATGCTGTCCCCGGGACAGCACAGGGCTTCCTGCAGCCGCTCCTCCATGGCGAGGGTCTTCCTCCCACAATTGCTGCTGGCTTCTTCCTCTACTCCAATTGCAACAGTGGGTGTTAGATGTTCTTTGACAAATAATTATGCACTTTCATACCATTTGGGATGACATACACCTGGATCGGGGCATCACTTTCCCTGGTTTCCCAACCCCAGCACTAGTGCTTGGCCCTGCACAGCGGCTCTCTGTGCCTTCAGGAAAACGGGGTCCCAAGAGCGCCATGCTCCTCCTTCCTTCCCCCCCCCCGCCACAGCACCTGCAGGCTTGGTCCTACTCTGCTCCACATCTCTGCTCAGGCTGCCCCCTCTGCCAGCGGGGCCTCCTGCTCCTGTCTAGGGACACAGACTACCTCCTCCCATCAGCATGGGCTGTCCGCCTCCTAATGACCTCTGCCCCCCAGTCTACTTGATTCTCCCCTTCCCCGAAATCCTTTGCGCGTGTTGCCTTTATGCCTCTGAATTCTGACAGGTCCTCTTAAGGACCGTTTTCTGAGTGTCCACCTTGCCTCCCTCACTAGCAGCACATTCTTTAAGAGCCGGGCATGCATCTTACTCTGTCCTGTGCCCTCCCAACACAGAGCTCGCCTTGCTCATGGGGCAGGAGTCAGGGAACACATTTTGATTTGAATTGAATCAATGAAGTCACTGGCTAGTGGGTCTCATTGTGAATAGTCTAACACTGCCCCTGCCTTATTCTCTTGGCCAGGGACACAGCAACCCCTCAAAAAAAACGACATTCCGGATAAAAAGATCTGTCACATAATAACAAATGATTCATTACCCACCAACCCAAGTTTCCGCAGCGCCAACACCCACGTGTCTGGAAGTGCCTGCCAGCCACCTCCAGACGCTTCGGTTCCTCTGCTCTTGGATGCAGATCTCTCTCCACTCACTGAGGACAGCCATCCTGGCAAATGGTTTGAACTTATCCAAGTACCACCGAAGCTCCTATGGTCTTAGGGTGGTAACCCGGTCCCAGAGATGGGAGGGAGCATCCTCAGAGAGGGACGTGGGATTGGGAGGCCGAGTTTCCAGCTGCTGGGTGCCCTAACATCCTAGAAGGTGATTTTGAGACTTCCTCTCCCTGCTTCTTAGAAGTAAAGGGAAAAAGTCAAGTTCACCATTGTAATCAGACATATACTTGATGGTAAATTAAGAAATTAAGCTGACTGCTTTACTACTTCTATTTTATATATATTTTTTATTTCCGTGTATGTATTTTAAGGAAAATATATTGGTGATCCCCCCTCCCAGGATAATGGAACAGACTTGTCCTGAGTCTGAGGCCTTTGTGTCGCTGCTTTCTGCAGCAGGAGCCTCCTTGCCCGGCACTTTGCACCGTGTCTAACAGCAAATCACCTATGGAACAAGAGGGAACGAATATGTTTGGGGAAAACAGGAGACGTCGTTCTTCTCCTGTTCTTCTTTCCCTGACGATTTCAAAGGCAGTAAACGCCTCTGCAGACTTCAGCTGAAAGGGCACACGGCTGCCGCGGGGTTCTGCGTGCGCGCAATGCCTCCCCACGAAGGAGCTGGCTGGCTTCCCGTCCCGGCCTTCCCTCTTCTCTCGCCTTCTGATGTCTTTCCAGGTTGGAGCTCCCGCTTAGATGAAACAGATGAATTTCTGGGCCTGCTTCTGCTCACAGCAGGCAGGAGCAACAGTGACTGATTGGTTGAAACATGAGGATTAATGGGTATTTATATTTCATTAAATTTTATACTCACTGGAGAATAATGTATCACTCGCAGATATTGAAACATATGTCAACCCTATCCACTTACATATAATTCAATTTGACTTAAATGCATTGATCAAATTTTATTAAAGTCCAATACATCTTCCAAAAAGGCCCACTAACATAGCATTGTCCCTTCAGAATCCCTGATGAAAGGAGGCTCTTGTGCTGTAACTCTATTTATACCATTTATACCAAGAGAGGCCATTGTAAATGGAATTCTCACACAAGGTGACCGGGGCTGCCTGGAGGACTTGCCAGTGAGATTCTTAAGCAAATTCTCAAGTGGAGGCCTTACTAATGTGACCCCAGAGTGGGTCAAAGACAAGTGCCCACCCCAGAGAGGGATGACATCACTATGAATGTCTCCTGAGAACCAGGGCAGAGACTCAGGGCTGGACACATCCTGGAATCCTCATCTGTCAATCATCCATCCTGAGGGCTCCATGACACCTGGATGGTGCTACCCTGCATCGTGGGGAGGAGAGCTCTGTGGTCCTCTGCCCACCTGTCCTCCCCTTCCCCTCTCCCCCACTCCCGTGTCCCCACTTCAAATGTATTTTTGTTTGTTTAATACAGATCTACGTACAAACAGAAGGAAGCATCTGTATGTAGAACATACATGTAGAATGCATGTAGAATGGTACTCAACAGAGACTTTAACAAATGGCGTGAGACTTTTGCTGTTTGTTTTAGAATCCTATCTGCAATATGTGTACCTGTTCCCCACATAGACACAGCATGTTATAACTAGAAGGTGAGCATATCATGGTAGAAATAAAGAATGTCCAACAGAATATGGGTTTCACTATTCAACCTAACTTGTTGAATTTCTGACACCATCAGTGAAACAGGAACTGCCTCCGTTCAAGGGATATCTCAACCAAAGTGCACCCCAACCTTCCAGCTGGCCTTCACGGGAACCTAGAGCAAGTCAGTGCCTTTGGATTCTGCTTTGGAAAATGAAATTCTGAAGTTAGGTCAGAGTTTCTCAAACTTGGCGAAGAATAGATAGATGATAAATGGATAGATGATAGATAAATTTATAGATAGATAGATAGATAGATGATAGATAGAGAGATGATAGATAAATCAGATGAAAATGATAGATATAGAGATAAGACATGAGAACAAAAAGAAAAGGAGGACCTTTCCATGCTCAAAATCTTTCTCAACACATTCAGTTCAAGTATAAGACTTAATGTGGTAGTATGCCTACTACCTGTCCAGCACTGATGGCGTTGGAGATGTTCTGTCTTGTTGATTGTAGAAGCCCCTTTCCCAAAGCACCTAGTAACACCCAACAGAGCCACATGGAACTCAGAAAGCTCTGTTCAGGAAATGCCAGGTTAGGAATCTCCAGGATACCTTTGTGCTTGAAAATTCTATTTCTTTAGGGTAGGAGGTAATAGCACTTGTTAAAAATACTGTTCCCTGGGTCTTTTAGACATTATAAATACGAGTGCAAAATATAGGGACTCATATCCCTCCAAATTTATAAAATAAGCAATCATAAAGAACACTAATCTTCCTTAAACACACCTAGTACAAAAATAAAAATATGGCTGCAGTTTTGAAATAGTAAAATTAATTTCCTGAAGGATACTCTATGGCTATTTCTTTAGGAAAAAAAACAAATGACCGAAGGGCAGCCCACTTGCTCCCCAAGGTTGACTTCATGGTTCATCAGATGCCACCAGCCTTTCTGCCTCACAGACATGGAGACTGGGCATACAGAGAGCAGTCCACTAACAGACCCTGAAGGCCTCAGACCCAGTGCATTCTAAAGTGCGCTGCACAACGAAATGAGATTAGATTGAATGCTCCTGGAGTAGCAATATGAGGGTCACAGCTCTTTCAAGCCCTAGCCACCTGGCCTCCAGCCCTGCTGCAGGTGCCAGGTGAACATGAGGCTCCCAGGTGCCCCCCCCCGCTGGTGGTCCAGCATCAATGATCCGGGGCCTCCCACGTGCATTCCAGGGAGGGGAAGGCATGGGCCGGAACCACAGCTGCCTCGCTGCTGCTTCCCTGACCCGTTCATCTCACTGACCTTCCGCCTCTGCGGATTGAAGACCAGAGAGGGCACTGCAGGCCCTCCTGGGTTTCTGGGCTGTGCCTCCCCATATTGATCCCTCCTCCACTTTCTGGGAAAGTTTTCAGGAAGCTCAAGTGTCCTTGGAGTGCCCTACTATCTTGCCCCATGCCATTTCAGTTCATAATTATCTTTCATTGGCCTCCTCACTGCACCTCCAGAGCCCCGCCAGCCATTATATCTGCCTGTAGTCATCCTCTCTCCCGTCCTTTATGCCAAAGCCCCTTGAACTTGACCTACGTTGGGTCACAGCTCCAAGACTTCCTTATTCACCGAGACATTTTGGGGGCTCAGGGTATAGTGCTTGTCTCGTGACTTTGTGACTATTGGTCAGCTGCTTGGTTTCCCCCAGAACAGCTCCAAGGCCATTTGTGACTAAGTCCCCAGTGTCTTGAGTAGTGCCTTTAGTATCTGGAGTACCTGTAGTACCTATAGTGCCTGTGGTACCTGAGTCTCTGGAGTACCTATAGTACCTGGCTCCTAGGGGTTGTGGCTATGCAAATTGGAGCTTTATTTTTATATGGGGAGAGTAATATATAACACATGTTTACATATCAAAACATTTAATACTCCAAATGGGAAAGTGGGCAAGGATTATTTACAAAGTATTAATGAAGGAGAACTGAAAAAAAACAAAACAATAAAGATTTGAAAAATTGTCAAACCTAACTAGAATGCAAAAAAGCAAGAAGAAGTCATTAAATAAATTCTGGAAACAGAGTCCTGAGGCTGTTTCAGCAGGAAGAACCCTCCCTTTCTTTCCCTGTAAGGAGTCAGTGAGGTAATGGCTCTAACGCTGTAAGTCCTCATCAGCACCATGGGTCAGAAAGGTGCTGCCTCTCTTGCAAGATGACTGCTCTTCCTGACGGATGGGATCATCTTCTGAGAAGATGATTCCAGAAGAACAACCCCCAGGCTAGGCAGGGTAATGTCTAAGAGGAGCTTGGTTTCAGTCCAGGGAGAATTCGCTGGCGTGAACAGGAGAGAGCTCTGCAGGCAGAATCTCTGCCTCCAGGAACTCTGCAGGGACCGTCTGTGCCCACTGAGGGACCCACACACCCTGGCCTCCCATCTGTGCCCGGCAGTGGCGTCCAATCTATTTCTCAGACATGGGTCCCCAGGGGTGCTGTCAGAGTTCCGGGGGTTAACTGGACAATAAGGTTGGAAACAGTAAGTTAAAATGAAGTTAGTGTATTTACTACAAAAAGAGCCTTTACTAAGTTCATGGGCATTAGAAACATACTCTGCATATGGTGAAGTATCCCACAAAGCCAATTTTTCATCAAACGCCTAATATCAAGGAGTGCTGATAGATCCCTGGATACAGTTTGAAATAATGTAATAGAATCTAAGTTCCTGAGAAATGGGAATTATTTCTTATGCATCTTTTTATCTCTAATAATATTTAGAGTATTTGAAATATGATTGAGAATAAAAGAAGGAAGGAAGGAGGGAGGGAGAGCGCGAAGGAGGAAGGAAGGAGGGAAGGAGGGAAGGAGGGAAGAAAGGAAGCTACTTGGGGACAAAAGCAAGCTTATTTATTCTTCTTTGCCACCAGCTCCTCTGCCACCTACCCCAACCACTATTACAGAGTCTGGTGCTTAGTAAGCCCTTCATAATGTCTTGCTGAATTAATGAATGAATGCATTCATGAATTTTATATTGAACTGATAATACCATATATGAAGATGCTGAAATTAATCTCATTTCACTTCTTGAAATATGAGAAAAAAAATATGAGGCTGGCTCTGGAGATGAGCCAAGAGGCTTTATAGAAAATTACTGTGTGATCTTGATAGCTTTGTTCAAGAAGTCTGCTGTTCAGAGCTGGCCTGGGAGTCAATACACATGGCCAGCCAGGAGAAATGGAAAAGTCTCTAGGGCAATGTGTGAGTGTGTGTGCAAGTGTGTGTGTGTGTGTGTGTGTGTGTGTGTGTGTGTGTGGAGAGAGAGAGAGAAAATAAGCTGTACACTATATACTAGTTCATCAAATAGACTATTTTTTTAAAAGACATCTAATTCGTAGTGACTGGCCCTCAAACTAGAGGGGATATCAGGGCCATCGCTGGTAATTTGTACATTATTCCCACCCTCCACCTCTTTCCATTTGCAAACAAGTTACCCTCAGTGTTGTCTCATCCATCTCCAGACACCTGGAGCCTGCCATGTTCTTCTTTCCGTCTCGAGGAAGAACCGAGAGCTGGGAGGGTCGGCAGCAGCTTTGGGAGCAGCAGCTGAGTCTTCAGGACATGCCCAGGCTGCTCCGCTCCAGGTAGAGAGGACCAGTGGTGTGGACAAGGCTCCAGGCTGTCTCCTTCTGTCTCCCTGGGCACAGATATCTTAGGTGGGAGGGCAAGTAGGCCCAGAGGCTCAGCACAATGACAGCTGCCACTGGGCCTCAGGTTCTGACATCAGAGGTCACTCTGGACCTTGCCCACAACAGAACCAAGGGCAGGGTTGTGTTAAGAGAATGCTGTTCTGCCAGATAGGGCCAGGCACCGATGGATGGGTACTTGATTCTAGTCTATCATGAGGATGCCTGTCTTCCAAAGACTCAACCAGTCTCCATGTTTCACTTGGGGCCCTTTCTGGAAATATGAGTGTGAACTTGCCTCAAACTTCAAAAAAGAATGTGTCATGAAGGAAGTCATGAAAGATGGACCTCTGCACCCATCCCCACCTCCAGTTCTCTGGGAGGCCCCAATCAAGCTCACAGAGGAAAACAAGCCGAGCTTTGTACAACCGTGAGCCATGGTGACAGTTTCCTGGGAAAGCTACACAGCAAAGTTCTCACTCTCAGTTCCTGCCTGCCTCCCCCGACTATAGCTGAGAAGCAGCACCACAGACGTCCACCACCTCTTTCCATAGGCACATAGTTCAGGCCTGGTCTTCTCCAATCATCTAGAGACTGACAAAACATCTCTCCCACCTCCCCTCACCCCTGGGAAAGCAAGCTGCCTCAGAGGCAAGCTGTCTCAACCACACCCAACAACTTATTCACCCTCCAAAACAAAAATAGAGTTGATCCTCATTATTTGTAGATTCTGTATTTGCAAACTCTCCTAATAGCCATACTTTATTTGTAACCCAGAAATCGATACTCACAAAGCTTTCTGGATCATTCACGGACGTGCCCAGAGTCTCTGAGTATACATTTCCTGCTGAAGGGGCCGAGGCAATGCTCTGCCTTCTTGGTTCAGCTCTCAGGCTGTAAGCAAGTTCCTTTTCTGCAGTCTATTAAACGTCATCCTTTTTCAATTTGTGGGCTTATTGTTGATGATTTTACTGTTTAAATGGCTCGAAAATGCGGTACTGATTGCTGTCCAGTGTTCCTAAGCCCAAGAAGGCTGAGATGTGCCTCAGACAGAAAACGTGTGTGTTAAGCTTCATTCAGGCTTGAGTCATAGGACTGAGAGGTCACTGTTAATGAACCAACACTATATATTCAATAAGATGTCTTTAGAGCCAGCCCTGATGGCTTAGTAGTTAGGTTCCGCATGATCTGCTTCGACAGCCCAGTTTCGGCTCCTGGGTGCGCAACCACACCACTAGTCTGTCAGCAGCCATTTTGTGGCAGTGGCTCACATAGAAGAACATCCAAATGTACACAACTATGTACTGGGGCTTTGGTGGAGGGGTGGGAAGGAAGAAAAAAGGAGGAAGATGGGCAACAGATGTCAGCTTAGGGCAAATCTTCCCCTGAAAAAAAGAAGAGATGTCTTTAAACAGAAGCACACATAAAACAAGGTTATGTGTTGATTGGTTGAGGGAAATGTTGTGACCAGAGGCTGCAGGAACCCAGCCCTGTGTTTCCACCAGTAGCAACGGCTCAGCGCTTGCTAATTCAGGGTGTGGATGACTTTAAAGAACATGACTACCGTAAACAATGAGAATCGACTGTAATTATCAGCTGTACCTGGTCTCTTAGTGACAGCAGATTCCCCAAAATTTATGAAGGATGAGTACTTGATGTACATTTGTTCTCAAACCTGGTTGCACATTAAATTATCTGAGAATCTTAAAAAACAAAAACACGGAGACCTTTTGGGACGGCCCTCCCTCCCGCTGGGAGATTCCGTTTTGATCAAATTCATAAGAGGCTTGGGCATCAGTCATTTTCAGAGACCCCCTGGTGATTCTAACACACAGCCAGAGTTGAAAATCTCTACTGTAGCCAAGAGACCAGTTCAGGTATTTTCTTAGAAACAAACAAAATCACAACCTATGTGCCTTAAAAGCAAATAAATGCTCCCAGTTCAGTCATAGAAGTTCAGTCGCTGGTAGCATTTCTCCCCACTCTCTACACATCAAAATTGGTTTCAGATCTCTCTATGGAAGGTCCCATCCTCGCCATGATTTCACGCAGCAATCCCGTAGTGTAACACATTGGACACAGCTTGGCCTCTCGGTCTGGCATTTGGGTTTCAAACCCCACTTACACCACTGTATTAGTCAGGGTTCTCCAGAGAAACAGAACCAATAGGATATATATAATATATAAATAATATAATATATAGAATATATATACACACACACATAGGATTTATTGTAAGATATTGGCTTATGCGATTACGGAGGCCGAGAGATCCCACCATCTGCTGTCTACAAGCTGGAGACCCTGGAGAGACAGCAGTGCAGTTCCAAAGCCTGAGAGCCAGAGAGTGATGGTGTAGATTCCAGTCCAGATCTGAAGGCCTGAGAACCAGGAGTGCGAGGGCAGGAGAAGACCAACGTCCCGGCTCAAGCACTCAGGCAGAAGCAGTGAATTCAACCTTCCACCTTTCTGTCCCATCACACCCTCGAGGAATTGGAGACTCCCACACACACTGGAGAGGGCAATCTGCTTTACTCAGGTCACCAACTCAAATGCTGATCTCTCCTGGGTACACTCTCACAGACACACCCAGAAATGATGTTTAACCAAATATCTGGGCACCCTGTGATCCTGCCAAGTGGGCACAAAGGACACCGAGGACACAACCTCAGTGTGATCTTAGAAAAACCATATAAGCCTCCCTGAGCCTCAGGTCTCCTCATCTGTCACATAGAGGTAATAACAGTTCATTTTCCAGAACATTTTTTTGAAATCAAAATAGCAAAAGCATGTTTAGCACCTGGCCTGTTTAGCACCTGGCCTGGTGTGTCGTTGCTGAATTCTGAGGGAGCAGAGAATGTTACCGTCCTGGTTTCTTTGCTCAAGTTTGAACCAATGGAAAGAGACAGAGGAGTAGACAGGTGAAGATCAAAACATCAGGTTTAGCTGATACCGCTGTTTAAAAAGGATGTGGATGAGGTGGGCTGGAAGCGTGGGCTTCTCTGTGTCAGTCCCGGAATTAGAAGGCTGTTCCTGCTCCGTGTCAGAGCTGGAAACGCGCAAGGGCTGCACATCGGCTGAAGCAGATCCTTGACCTTGGTGGATCAAGAGGGAAATTGCTCCTAGTCTATTTTCCACCCCAAATTATGTCTATTCTTACTGCCCAACTTGGTTTATCAGATACCACATGCTATATAAAGGTACTCTAATAATAAAATGACAAAATCCCCGGGGAAATATGGAAGTTTATACATTGTATACTAAATTTATGCCCTCCAAATTTTCCTTCCGCTCAGTCTCGGGTGGAGAGGTGGCAAAACCCAGGAGAGGACACTCAGAAGATGCATCCTGAGCTGTCTGCCCAGGATGATGCAGTTCTCGCGGGGCCTCAAATCTCCCACACACTTCACATGCTGAAGGCTCATCGAGACACTCAAGAGCATCGTATAACAGCCTCTACACCCTACAAAGGTAGAACACCGGAGCCCGGGACAGGCATCCCTGGAAACTTCTGGAACCTAGAACTTGGTCCTGCCTGAGGTGAAGGCTCTGTGGCATCAAGGTCAATTGTCTGGCGTCTATGACCTGCAAACTCAAGCTCCCCCATGACTTGTATGCCAGCAAGAGACCAAGTATGGCACTGAATTTCCTATCTCTGGTGGGAAAATTAATCTAGCGCTCTGAGATATCCCTGCCCCTCACAAGGTTCAGGAATTTGCAGTGGCAGCTGCCCAGCCACCAGTTCCTATGGAGGTTTCTTTCTGTCTCATCCAGCCCACACAGAGCCTCTCGTTCCCTTCAACTCTGTGTTTGTGGCCTCAGGGCACGGCTGCAGCATTTTCAATTCCAGGCAGAGCTGGCCGTCCAACCACCTCCTGCTGAAGAAAGCTGATCGCCTTCTTTCAATGGTCCTGGGAGAACCACCCTCTGCAGCGTGCTCAACTGAAGCTGCTATTAACCTTCGCTGTAATTATATTTGCTAAGAAACCAAATTTATTGTCAACTGTGTTCATGTAAGTTCCCATTCAAGGAGTTTGGCAACTGATTTGCCAAAGAGGACTTGGTCTAAAATACCCCAACTCAAAGTAGCCTCCTGCAGCAGACTGCCAGGAGAGTACACTAACCAGATTCCAACCTGAAACATATGTGATCTCAATCCTAACACCTTACTGTGATTGGCTTCCTCATAAAGTGCGTCTTAAGTTTATTTCCTTGCATAAAATTTAATGCCTTCCTGAGGTGTCGGTTAGCCATGGCCAAAGCAAGGGTCACACAAAGACAAATCCTCAGTGGTGGCGACGGTCTTCTCCTCCGGGCAGGGTCCTGCACCATCTGCAGCTGTCCATAGGTGGGCGCGGCATAGGGTGGCAACAGCTGGAGAACAGGGTGGCCGTGCTGACATAATGAGATCCTTTGAATCATTAAGTAGCGTGACAAAGGAAAGGGTCCTCCGACAAGCGAGGCACTATATTTAAGTTCAAGAATCAACGAACCTTTAAAAGGTAGGGTCCACCAAAGAAACCGGCATCAGCCAGCACTAGGGAGACAAGCCGGGAGGG